AGCGCCCTAGTTTGCACGTAAGCAACATCTCGGTGTTTGGGGCTGTCCAAGAATTCCTTAGCTCATCAACGGACGCGGCGCAGATGCTGAAGTGGAGGATGCGAGAGGAGGCGAGTGGCAAAAGGTGAGGTGCCTTCCACATAAGGGCAATGGGCCGCAGAAAAGGAGCGATGGAACAAGCACGCACCCGCCGCACACAATGACCTTTTCCAAGCCCACGGCTATCCATGACTAATATGCCTCTTCGTCGCGGTCTTAAACAGTTGATCGTCCCTGATGACGTCCACGACGTCTATTACCCAGCATAATATGACGCGTCAGCACCACGGCTGGCCGCGCAGAAGCTTTAGCCACAGGCAAATGCGAAGACAGCCAGGCGGCGGCCCAGGAAGTGCCGCGGCTAAGTATGGCGACGGAAACGAGGCCGCGTCTGCGGCTGTGAATTCGCCATTTGCGACACGACGCGAGTCATTCCGTTGGGACTGGAGAGCGAAGGACGCTGCGCTCGTTGTAGATCCAAAACGCGGGAGGTTGAGGCGGAATGCGGCGGAAGTGGGCCCACGTGTCCTTGCGACTCCCCCCATGCTGTCGCCGACTTCAGAAGATGTCGCTCGGGCCGCGGCCGGCCCTGGCTGCGGTGTCAGCAGATCAGGTCACGCCAAGGTGCGCGGGCCACGGCGCCCCCCAGGGTCCCTGGGCATCTCCGCCGTCGACGCGCGCGCGCTGCTTGCGAAGATGTCTACGCGCACACGCGCATCTATGATGAAAAGGGCGATCGCGCGAACGTCACGATTGGGGCGCCACGCGATGCCTCGCGTCGCCCATCGCGATGAGACGGCCCTTCCCGGCGCGTGCAGTACACCTCATGTGTACGGTTGATGGGCGCGCTGATCGAACCCACCACAACGCAGGTACCAAGGCCCGGTGAGCGGTCCCAGGCCCGCCCCACGTCCGTCAGTGCGCCCGGCCGCCGTCGCGCAACACGACATCCAACGTGGCGCGGGCATCTGGGCAGACCCCCGCTTGTTTGTACGTCGCCCGGTGCCCCAGCGCCCCCCCCCACCAGCCATGCCATCTCGGCGTTCGCCCACCTTCTCCCGCAGCTCCACCACGCTGGACTCCAGCGCCTCGATGCGCCGCTTCCTCTTCTCCCGGAAGTTGCGCTGCAGCACGCGGTTCCTCTCGCGCCTGCTCTGGGCATCATTGCCCACCGCCGGCCGCGCGGCCGCCTTGGCGCGGGCGCCCGCCGACGGGGGGCTCCCGATGTCGCCCGGGATGCGTCCGATGGACATGTCCCTGTCCCACAGGACGCCGGGCATAAGGGCAAGGGTACGCGCGTAAAGGGCCGCCGGGTGCGGGAAGCAAGTCACAAACTTAGCTGGAGGGCTTCCTGCGGCATCTAGGGCATACGACGGAATGGCGCGGTGGTGCGCTCGCCGATGAGCGCCTTGCTTGGACATGGCTTCGCGGGAGCGCCACGCCAGTTGGCAAGCCTCTAAAAGGACGAGCGCAGGGCGGGGCGGGGCGCGAGCGAAGGAAGCGCGCGCCGACCGCCTCTAGCTTCGCGCAGCAGTGCGCAGCCCGCGCCACCAAGGGTGCAGCGGCGGCGAGATTTCTCGTTTGGGAAAGGGTCCCTCCAGGGCGCTCATTGGCTTGCGGCGCGGAAACTCACTCTCGGAGCTGCGCCTCCGCCATCGAGGAGTCCTTGAGCAGGACCAGCCTCAGGCCGGCGCCCCCCGCCTGGTCATCGCCTTCGGCCAGCCCGCACTTTGTCGTCAGGTGGCTGGCCGCGATCAGATAGGATGCGTCCAGGCCGGCGGGCAGGCAGGGCGCTTGCGCCCCCGAGCAGGGCGCCGCGACCCTGGGCAGGGCAACCGGCTGCTTCTGCATCTTCGCACGCCCGCGCACCTTGCCGAGGCTCTGCGGGCGACGGTCCGCTTTAAGTGCCCCCAATGCAGCGCTTTGGGCTTTCCGAAACCACGCTATTGTCATTGAGCGTTGAGAACATCAACAAACACACCATGCGAAGCCAAGGGCATCATAGACGTCGAGAACGCGAGGATGCGCCCCGCCCGCCGTGTCCATCATGTCGGTTAGCGCTCCGCGCCTGAGGCGGTACCTTGGAGGTCGCTGCGCCACGTAGTACGGTGTACCTTGCGCGTCACTGCCCGCCGGCGCCCAGCGCATATGTACGACGGGCGGGATGCATTGCAAGAATCATACGACGAGCGTTGACGCTCAGCATGCGCCTGGGCTGCCTGATGGCCGGAATCAGCGCGCACGGCGGCTGAGCTGGACGCCTGCGGCTTCAGAAAATTGCGACCCGTCCAACGAACTCACGTGAGACCTACTTGCGCGCGGGGATGAGGTCAACTATCACGACCAGATCCGTCTCCAACGTAGGGGGCGTCGTCGTAAGGACCGTCGTATCGATACGACATGTTGTATTATATGACCCGCTTGTGATGTTTTTGATGATGGTAACGTATAGCATGAGACATACAGCCGCAAGTGTCGTCCAGCGTAAGTGGTAAGCCATACAGATGGGGAACGCGCACTCCGTCCTTTGGCGGTTCGCCGTGAGAACTCGCCCGAATAGACAGGGTTGGCTGTTTTCTCGCTCCGCGTCGAGGTGGCGGCAAGCCTACGGCCACTCCCAACGGTGGCAGTAGTCACACATTTCGGTCAGATTGTAAACTTGGTACAGTACAGAGGCGCGATTCTCGACAATTTCGTACGATTTATGCCAAGCCACCATTTGGTTAGGGTACTGTCAATGCCCAATAGACGCCGGGGAGGAGGGGGTGGAGTCGGTCAAGACCACGCATGTCAAGGGACCAGCTCTCTGCATCAGAAACACACCGAGCAAGCAGGCTGAAAAGCCATTTGCAGTAACAAAAAAGAGGACGCAGTGGAAGTGTTTGTGCGTGTCCAGGACACTGGCCCCGTCAGATATGCCGAATTCTGTGGATGGCCGTTACAAGGGTACCTGGTCCAGGGACAGAGGCACGTGAGGTATCCCTTGGAATGTCGAGGGAAAATCCAACGATGAATGCTGGACAGCGTTTAGCGACGCCGCGTGGACATTGACACATGTATGCGCATTGCCATTGCCCGTTTGTCAGCTCCCCAGTTGATGTTCTGCACATGTTGGGAATGATCAGACTGTGCGTCGGGATAAACAACGGCAGGCAGGTACAATGACTGCCACGGTTGCTGCGGGCAGCGCATGGTTGCCTTCTCGGCTTTCACCATCGTGCGGTGGATTCAGCTGTTGCGCCATGTAAATTTTAAACGGCTGGCGCGGTTGCGGCTGTTGTGCAGGTGGATTAGTATCATTGCCGCATGACCCAGGACATAAATCAGCAAATGTACTCTAAGGACAATGGTAACAAGCCATGAGATGGGTATTACTCAAAGCAGCCCTTAGATTTTGAGAATTGGCACTGCACGCAAGAAGTGGAGCACCCCGTCGCATGACGACGGCTTCAACAAAGGTACTGTGCTATAGCAATTTCCCACCACATGTGAATGTTCCTTCTTTTGTCACTAGTATTCGATGTGACTGGGCTCCAGTTCTTGGTGTCAATAAAGAAATATTCCGACTGCAAATGCTCTATCAGTGGCCCTTCCTCTGATGTAGGATGGATGACTTTCCAAGACACGTGATTAGATGAATCACCCACAATTGTGCTTGTTTGTCTATCTGAAATGGGTGATTTTTCTTAGTCTCCCCTTCTCTCCCTGGAATATATACTTGACGTGCGGTGCTCAAAACGCAGACATTTGGCCCATGCGAATGTTCTGAACTGGAGAGCTTCTGTGGCAACAACGTTGCGCATCCCCTCAAATTTCAAAAGCATCGGAGGCTTATATTTAGCAGGCAAACATGCATGCGCACTTCGTTTCTGACGCATTCTAGTGGTTCTCCCAATCCGGTATCCGAAAACACGGTGGCTGTACTGAATAGCACATTTTATGCAGAGATATGTCTATGTATGCAAATTCAATTCCGTAAGCGCAATATTTGCAGCATAGCAGTGGCGAGAAAATGCCCGTTATGCATGTCTCCAATGAGAAATACTAAGACGGCGTTCACCGTTCCATACAAAACTCGAGGCAATGGCGATGCGACTGATCGTTTTGTGATGCAGCGCCCGCAGATTCCATTATCTTGACTCTCTGCTCCACATTTCCCCCCTCTGTCGGCGGAAACGCAAAAAATTTTGCAAAGGCGAATTTTAGGGATGCCGTGGATACAGTAGTGTTTTGGGTTCTGAAGTTCGTGATTCGTTATTTCTGGAGATGTAACCACGCAACCCGCACTAGTAGACGTCCCAGCGGGGAACCGCTTTCACAACATGAACCCATGGCTCTGAGTGGGACCACTACAAGCTCTGGAAAAGTGCCGAGAGCCCAACATGAAACCACCGTCAATTCGAAGCAAAAATGTTACAAACTGAAAGCTCGTACAACTGCCAATGTTCCGCAGCCCGTTCAAACCGATCCCGGGTCCCTTCATCGATCAACGCAGCAGCATACGTCACACCGTCAGGGCATTGCATCCCATGCCATCATGGTTGAGTTCCAGCACGTGATCCAATTCCGCTAGAAACAGCAAAATAGGATCTTGCGTTGGGCAGCTTAACACCGGACTATTCTGCCTTGGCGACCCTGGATTTAATCTAGCCATCAAGATCTCGACGACATGCAAATCCACCTAAAAAAAGAGTCAACTCCTGCCCTTCCTTGTATGGGTGCGACAAGGCTTCGGTTTCAAAAGTGCGCTGTTGACTCCATCATCACACCCCGACATCACATCCAACCAGCGTACTGCCTGCCTTGCACAGCATGCAGCCATCCAATCTGCTCCCAATCTACCACTAAGCGCCATGGCCCCGAACATCTATGGTGTGGTGAGAATACCCTTGGGCTGTTGCGGATGCTCATGACTTGAATGAACCAGCCCTCGAAGTCGCGAATGCACTTATTTCAGGGCATCACTTCGTGATCCAAGTCATCTTCTCGAGGGCTGCCGGCCTCGCCGGACCCCCGAGGTGCTCGACATGAGCCCACAAGATGTTGTTCTCTCTCTCCAGCTCGGCGTTCCTCACTATCAGATGTTGGGCCTGCGCAAGTGACACCCACACTCAAAGAGCTGCGCTACGCCTGCAGAGCAAATCACACCGATGAAAGCACACAGTGCCAAAGTCGAAAGGGTGGCGAAGGTACAACGGCAAACACGAATGGCACGCGTGCTTGGCGAGTGCACTGAGCGCAGGGGCATGGCCCCGCTCGGGCGCACCTCGGACCGGTACAGCCTGCCGTTTGTGTCATCCATTGAACATCTGAGCCGATTTATCACATTTCCTTCAGAGTTTGCACAATGCGGTGTCACGGGTAGCATGCGGTACCTGTATTGTACTGTTCACCGGTACGTTTCAGCAAATATTCCCCGGTCCGGGAGGCGCCCTGGAGATCCCGGGGGCCGGTTCTCAATGTGAACTTCCAGAGCTGGGGAGCTGGCGGCGGCCCCGTTTTATCCCAGCCCGGATATAGTACACATGACAGCGCGACCTTTGCAACAAGATGGGTTTATTCTCCGCAGACACATGTATCGCAGCATCCATCACCCCAGCTTCTGTGGTGGTAACACTGATGCCCCAGGTGGTGATGTGCCGGGGTGATGCGTCGTACCGTACAGGGGGCGCACCGTCTGATGCCCCCGCTGATGGCCCGTCGCGACCCGCGAAACCACGTGCATCACCCACGTGCCACCACGATGGCCATGCATGCGCCGAGTGCAAATACTTACGAGACCCTAACTCCAGCGCCCGTTATCCCCGTTTGTCAGCCCGAGCACCGCCAACACCCCCGCCCCACCCTCGAGAGTAAACCCACCTTTTCTTGCAGCTCCACGACGTAGCTCTCCAGCTCCTGCGCCCGGCGCTTCTTCTTGGCCCTGAACTTCATCTGCTGCACGCGGTTCTTCTCCCGCCGCAGGGAGTCCGCGTCCATCGCCGCGCTGGCGCCGCTCTGGGCGACCTCCGCCGCTGGGCGGCCCGCGCTGGACCGCCCCCGCTGGCCCTCGGATGCGCTGCCTAGGTCCGAGTCGCTGCGCCCCAGCGACACCGATCTCCTGACAAACAAAAACACAAGCCGTCAGGGAGGCAGCGCCGCGACTTGGGGCGCCACCGAGGCCAACACAAGGTAACCTCGGGACAGATTCGGGCAACCCCAGGCGGCCTGCCTGGCAATGACCGGCAAGTGCGGCCGCGGAAGTTTCCGCAGGAGGGCGGCCCAATGTGCCCGATTTTGCCGGGAAACCGCGGAGCGACCCGTTGCAAGCACTGGGCCCGGGTCCCGCCGCGCGCATCCCAGCGGCACGCTCAAACGACACACGTCGCACGGCAAACCGCGGCACGCGCCCCAATTAATTGACCCTCCCGCGGACGCACTCTCGCTGCGGCGCCTCCGATCTCAAGACCGTCCTCTCCAGGGGCGCCGGCGGACGCGCCACGGCTCCCCCCGCCACGGCCCTCTCGGCCAACTCGCGGTTCGCCATCAGGTCGTAGGACGGCATTGGCGACGTGGACTCCAGTAGAAAGAACACCGGCCCCCCGCCGGCCTGGGGCACCCCCCCTGGGACGCCTCCCCGCCTCGCCTGCATGCCAAATCCGCCCCCAAAAGCTGCCTCCGTCGCCGTGCTTCTGAGGGCAATGGGGTTGCTGGCCGCCCGTGTGAGACTGCGGGCGCCGACAGCCTGGGCTTTCATGGTCCGGTCGGTGTCTTTCTCGTGACGGGGATCGAGAGCAAACTGACGTCAAGTGACCATCAACCACGGCGGTGAAGTCGGGGGGGCGCCAGCCCGCCGTTAATCAACGTGAGGGAGGCGCCGTGGACGTACGCGGGGGGGCATCACGGCACCCCTTCGGCGAAGAACATGCGAAGCGTGGACACTGATCGTTCTAATTGGCCCCCCGGACGGCTGTAGTGACTCGCGCCATGCCAGACGTGGACCCCGGGGACCCTTGTTCAGGCGCGGCACATTCGAGGTACGCCCCAGGCGCCGACGGTGGGATGGCGGACGTCTCGTTGGTACATCCATTCCCACCTTGGAGGTGTCGTGCTGACAGTGTTGAGGGGCTAAGGCTTACGGGAGGAATCTGGGAAGATGGGTCGCGAAAGGAACTCCTGAGCCAGACAGGCGGCGAGATGCCAGTGCGCGTCAGCCGGCGCGGACGATGGCCATTTCCGAGGCCCAGTGCGCGAAGGCCGCCCGGCCGTTCACCAAGAGGGCTGGGATTGAATACGACGCCAGGGCGAGTCCGCCGGCGCAGCCGTTGTCGCATCCCTGAGTCGATAGAGCTGACGAAGCACGCAGGCGAGGCGATGACGCGACGATGCGCGGGCGCTTTTGCACATGTGCGCGCCTATCACTCATCGCCGGCAAGTCCCCACCAAAGTTCCCACTAGGAACTAAATTGATTGCTGTCGGGCCTGAACAGCATTAGCCAACTGGGCCCAGAAAATCACGGCTGTGTTTGTGCGCATTGGCCCGGTTCCAACGTTTGGGCGTTGTCGACGGCAGTAACATTTGAAATCGTGCAACATCCTGCAGCAGCACTTTTGCCCTGTCTAAGACATGTTTGGGCGTGAGCGACACGCAACGCTCCGGTATTGCAGCACTGCAGTTAACACCGTTAGGGTTAGCGAATGAAGTGGTGGAGCAAATACTTCTGCAATTGCCTGTGCGGCACTGTTGATCGGCTCAGCCATTTGCTCTCGGTGAATCACAATTTAATAGTTGTTGGTGCAACGCGCTGCATCAAGCACATGCAGCACGTCTTGGAAATGGAAACGGTTACTGAAGGCACACTGAAGCGAATTCTAGATCTGTCATTCCAGGCGAGTCATCCTGGCGAGTGCAATCTTTGTTTTGCATGGCGCAGGGCGTTGGATGTCCTGGCCTACGGCATGCTTTGGATTTGTACGCGTTGTGGAGGTATGTCCCTGCTGGGTTGACTGGAGCGTTGAAGACAGGTGAGCAATGGTGCTTCAGGCATTTGGGTGCATCGCGCTCTTGGGAATTGACTTCAACTCTCGTTAATGAAAGTGGAGAACGTGTAACACTACCATTGGGTTGGACACAATTACTAAAAGATACCACTTGGAACTCAACTTGTCAAGCATGGATACAGGCTGGACTAAACTACAGTCATTGAGCAACACGGACTCATGCTGCGTGAGATCAATATTATTGTATTGAAATATACCCTAGTGGCCTCTATCCACAGCATGCCCTGGGGCACTGAGCTGTGTGGGTCATCTATTTTCAGTGGCGTTTCTGAGGCGCACCCTATGCGACTATCTTCATGCATCTTTGGCTGCGCACATAGCAAGGCGACTCAGAAGATGCACCTTGTCGACCATTTTTTACATGGCAGATGCTTAGTGAGCATGGGACATTGTTCACATATCCCAATGAGTTTTGCATGTTTATATTCCTCGTCCATGCCAAAGAGATTCTACTTGCTGACAAACTTCAAGGCCCGGAGCCTGAATATCGGACACCTACGGGCGCAGCCGTACAAGTGGTCCCACAAGAAACCGTCCGGTCCTTGTTGGCCGCCGCAGCATGAAAACGGAGCCAAACCTCTGGGACACCGTGTGATGGCCCTTCACGCAGTGTGGACTGCTGTGACTACCACCTGAGAGTGCTCCGACAACATGCGCCATCGGTTACCACTTTCGTTTCTGTTGCACGATGCCCAATGGGAAATTTGTTTGCCGCCAAAATACTCGATGCGACCTCGACCTTGCAATTCCAAACGCACGCAGGGAATCGCAGGGTCAAAGGTCAGGTTGCGCTACATAGCAACTGACGACCACCTGCACGGACGTTAGGTTCACTAGCCAAAAAAGGACCAAATAATAATTTTTGCAAATAAATATATGTGCATTTCATCAGTGTTTTGCATGGCAAAGACACGAAATTAACACAAGACCGTGGACTTTGTACACATTTGAACACGTGTTATTTGGCCTTCTTTTTTCCTCGTGGTCCGGGTGCATGCAGCTGCGTCCACGGATGGATGACTCAAGAGTGGCGTTGGGGGTTGGGGATGCATTCTTCCTAAGTTTTCGCCCTGCCCGGCTTTGACATCTCCCAAGAGGTTGTGGGCAGCGATTCAAACACCCTTGCTGGAAGTTTTCCACCGTCCAACATTGATCCCTTGTGTCAATCGAGGGGAACGCGTCGCAATAAAACATTGCGATGATCCCAGGATGGCACCCACACTACGTTTTTCTGTCACAAAACGCCTCACTTCCGCTCAGCAGGCCACGCAAATAGCTGAGAATACACTTCCTTTTTGTCAAGCCACGGCAGGGATCGACCATCGGCAATGCTCGGCGGTCTAGCTTCGCGCCGGTCCAGTACAGTGTACGTGGGCTTGGGGGAAGATCTCGAAATCTGGGAACGCGCCGCACCTACATGCCTATCAATCTCGAGCACGAGGAACTTCTGGGACTGCTTCAAGGGGGCTCATGGAGAGCGCGTCTCTGACCTTCATCGCCAAGGTGGCGGTGGTCGTAAGGTGTTGGGAGGGTGAGCACTGCGCTAGGATGGGTGGCGCCAGCAGTCACCCTGGGGTGTTTCCATCAACCAAACCGTCCCTGTTTCGAGAGGGTAGAGACAGCCCATTCACAAGCGCGCTCCGTTTTCGATCCGCTGATCAGAGCGTTTGCGCGACCAGCGCTCCCGCCCAACCAGCGCCCTGGTCTGGAAGACAGTGAGACACCAGATGACATCACGGTAACGCTGCTTGGCAGGTCGTTGAAGAGCAGGGATTTTTGAGTCTGGACACGAAATTCAAGCCACAGTGTCTGGTGGCATGGCCTTTTGGTGGTCAAAAGTTCAAGTTAATATGATCATAATTCTTTACAGGACGCTGATTTGAATTTGGGGGTCCTTTTGGGGGAAAAGGACAAAGGGGGTGGAGCACCCCGAATGCGGTGATCGGATGAGGAGTTAAGCTGCTACATCTTCCAATTAGTGCTTGCATCCTTACCCATGGGCAAGCGCAAGTATCCTTACGTAAATATTGATGAGTCAGGCGCGTGGAGCCCAAAATTCAGATCGTGGATTCAGCGGTGGCCACGTGGTGGTCATGCACGTGACGCTAGTTCAAATCCCGTCATCCAGGTCGAATCATTTTTGTAAAGTCAAGGACCATCTCACCCATCCAGGCAAACGCGGCCGCCATCACGTCGCTTTGGAGCCAACGCCAGGCCAACAACAGCGAATGTCTGCCGCCACTGACTGGCCCCCCCTCCAGTGGCAGTCACTACTTACCAGCGAGTTTTCGAAACGGATTTCGCGCCAAGTTGTCGTCCATCCCCAGCGACGTTTGGCGGTCCAACAGGATGGAAATGGGCGGATCAAACCCCCCCCAAAAACTTTGGTCGAGGCTGCCTTCATCCAGATTTCAAATCTCGCAGCCACCGTGAGGGGGTACCACAAGGTTCTAATGCCATCGCGATGAATGCAAAAGGATACTATGGCTTCCCAAGTTATCAGAAGCACAGAGTTTCCGGAAATGTCTGCGTGGCACATATGCAGCCTGGCTGTTCCCTGGGTTGTTCGCGATGCTCTGCAAGGTGTCCACTTGACAGACTTCCCTCATGGGCTATGCTGGACGCCAGAGCGCCACGTCTCTATCCATTGGGAAGTTCAATTGCGCGGATGAAGACGCTTTGTCGTCTAATTTGCCGTAATAAGCGACGTTGGGGCAGATGCTTCATGCTCCGGGATTTTCCTTCATTGAATATCTGCGGCGAACAGGTGGAATTCGACACAACCCAGGTTTACTTTGAAGCGATCGAGGCATACAGATATTTTTCGCGATGGGTGGATATAAAGCATGCAGACGAGCTGCCGTGCAGCATTTCTCAAATTCATGGAGAAACGAGGCCTTGAGAAGTTGAATCAAACGCCATTCTGCCGATGATCCATCGCGCTGGTTTGGGGTCTGAGCCATAATGAGCACACAATACTGTGGGCTCAGCTGGTGGGTGCCCACCCGTGGACAATATCTCACCCACTGAGTTATGCTATTGCAAAATATTCATACTTCGTGGGTTCCTAAGTGCATACGAAGTAGCCGGGCGGCTTGCTCACCCACGCGGTTATGGCAAGACAGAACAGGTATTTAGTCCTGCCAGGGCTGTCAGATCCGACATGGCCAAATGAATCTACAGCGCGATCCTTTATGCCAGATTTCAGAGGTGTCCTGTTTTCATCAATAGATTATTTTGGGCTGGGCATTAGTAATTCAGGGCCATATCGTAACGGTTATGCGCAACCAACACGTGAAATGAAGGAGTGGAGGCTACACCCATCGAGGTTATGCTCATGCTCGTGAATTTCGTAGTAGTTTCTGTAAAATTTTCCTAGCTATTATGGCATGTACATGGTACTCTCTGTCCGGAATGAATTATCTTTTTGGACTTGGCAGGCCATTTACGCGTCACTTCAAAATTATTATGTGCTAAGAGATGATATCAGAGGGCACACTGTGACTGTATGCAATACTCTATGAGGATCTCCATGAACAGATGAGCTCAATTCATATGCAGCAGTTCCAAGCCTCACGGCTACGGAAAGAAAGTTAACCCTCTCTGGGATCCCATCAACGCTCAGGTTTCATCCCATGGACATACTATCCCGATGAATAGTCTGCAAGTGGAGATCCTGGGTGTGGTTAACTCTAC